GACGATGGACGACCATCCGCTCGTGAACATCATTCAACTTCGAATACCGAATACACGAAATCATACATAGTACCTAATCATAGCACTTATCTGTTAACTAGTATCAGTACTACTCATGTCATGAGTCTAAACGCGCATGAAGGGAGATGACATCCGACCGTGAAGCCCTAGACGGAACTAGACAAGAGACGAGCGAGAAGGAAGAAAGAGACAGAAAATAGACGAATCGACGGAAGAGCGAGAGGATGGATGAGAAGACGAGGAGAGGATTCGAGAAGTCGAGAGAGACGGAGATGAGAGATGAGAGAGAGAAGTGAGTGGGGGTGCAGTGCAAGGAGAGATGAGATATGCAAGAAGAGAGAGAGAGAGAGAAGAGAAGAAGAAGATGAGAGATGTGATGATGAGAGTAGCACGGCAGTTGCCAAGGATGCAGATAGGATGAGAGAGAGACGAGACGAGAGAAAAGGAGAAGGAGAGGATGGAGCGAGAGGAGCAGGAGCAGAGACGAGAGAGAGGATGCAGACGAGAGAGAAGCAAGAGACGAGATGGAAGACGAGTACACTACGATGGACATAGGACCGAGAGATAAGGAAAGAGTGACGAGAGAGAGTAGAGCAACGAGAGAAGGCAGAGAGCAGAGAGAGAGAAGAAAAGAGGAAAGACGCCAAGAGACACATCGAGAAAGAGGCAAATGAGCAGAAAGCCGACGAAAAGAGCGCAAGAAGAAGGAAAAAGAAAGATTTAGCGAACGAGAGAAAAAGCGCCAAGCGAGACTGAGAAAGAGAAAGACACGAGGATGAAAAGAATAGAGAAAGAGAAGAGAGAGAAAGAAAGAAAGAAAGAAAGAAAGAAAGAAAGCGTGAATAACTAGACGTCTGAGAAAAAGAGAAAGCAAGATTAAAACACGAAGCTTACCTGACTTCCTCTGTTCCTACAGATACAAAGATAACATTCAGGCAGTGTCATCAGCACTGAAGGACCAACCGGAGACCCCCTTAGACCGCGCCGTGTTCTGGACCGAGTACGTGATCCGACACCAAGGAGCTCCCCAACTCAGATCCCCCGCAGCCGATCTTACTTGGGTGGAATACCTCATGGTCGATATAATCCTTCTGTTCCATGTGCTAGCCATTACCTTCTACCTCCTCGTCTGCCATGTCTCCGGGTTTCTGCGTCGCAAGATTGTCCCTCAAGACACGACAAGAAGGAAATGTGACTGATATGTTTTTCTATTCCTTTGGTTGTCTTTTTTTTTTTCTTTCTCTCTCTCTCTTAATGACTAGTTTTGATACAAAATAGACCTTATTTTACCATAATGCCTCATCATTTGTTTTACATCACCCTTTTTTCATGCATGAAATCTGCCGTTTCCTCGACAAGATTCAGCCATCAAGGAGACTGAACCATTGTGATACCAAACGATCTTGTCCTTCTAAAATTTTTGCACACTAACTCCACGAGCAAAGACATGAAATCCTAATAAAATTCTGTCACATTACACATTACACCTGCCTTTTTACAATGAATGACTTAGGCACAAATTTATCTCTTTATTTCTCTAAAGTATCATCCAAGCAGGTCGTAGATATATACACACCATAGCTCATTGCATTATGCCAATTTTCCACTAATCATAATACAGACTAGAAATATTGGAAAAAGACAATAATCTGACACAAGTAATATGACAATGAAGCTTAACAATAAATAAAAGACACTTGATGAAGCATTGGTCCTAAAAGAGGAAAAAAACATACATATATATAAATTTAGGAATGTGTTTATTATTTGGTGAAATTGAACGTCACTATACAATAGAAAAATGAAAATACATTACACATTTTCAACTAATACAGTATCAAATCTACTGATATGTAATTTCCTTACAAAAAATATATAGTTTCATATATGAAAATGTACATTTGTATTTACAAACATCTTATTTTGACCCAATTCACTTTTTTTTCTAATTCAACCCACAACATAAAACACTCCAGACAGTTACCAAAACTATACAATTTGTGCTCAACTTTGTGCTAAAATACAGTGTAATATTGCCCTGAACTGTCTTCTCTCGTAATTGGCAAGAAATACAGCTCTCCTTCGCCTACTAGATTTGGAAAACACACAAACAAAAATAGAAAATCAGAAAACTACAGTAAATGGAAAAAAAAGAACATTGACATTCATATATACATACTACATATTTAGCCAATCTGTTATTCAACAAATGAGATGTCTCACATCACTGCATATAACTTTTATCTATGCTCAAGATATACAAGTCAACCAAATTCATACTGAAGTATAAACAATTCCGTAAACAAAAGAATTATAGTCATGGAAGACAACATGGAGAAAATTAAAGATAAGATCACAAACTAATGAACATTATATATGCATTTTCTAGTGTTTCAGTCAAGTTCAACTTTTGAGAAAGCAGTCTTGAAATTATACATACATTTTCTTTAACTTTTCTCTTTCCTCTTTGGTAATAACATTTTCAATAACAATAACAATATATTTTACCAAATTTCTCCTGAATTCCAACATGCATGGTCACATTATCCATATATTTTACATATTTGTTCACAACAGAATACTTCGAAGTCCAACTACCATAAAAATATAACAACAAACCACCTTTATAAGGGAATATTTCTTATCAATACATGCACAAATGAATAAGCGAGGAATACAACTTTATGCAAACATTTACTTTAAACATGCAACAAAGTAACATATTCAAGAATGGTATACATACATGCCAAGCAAAGTAAATGGCATTAGATCAAGATTTAGTCTTTAAAATCATGCTTCTGCAAACAGTTTTAATCAACACGCATCTAAAAAAAATCATGCAGCTTACATGCAGTGCTAAATATTTCATAGTTTACTGTAGGTTCGCATTGGAGTTTGCAAGTTACCGATACTCGTACAATCTAAATGCAATTTCTATGGTTGTTCAACATAAAAAGAACAAAAAAGGAGAGGAGGAAGAGGAAGACAACGACAAAGACAAATAAGAAGAAAAAGAGAAAATGGAATAGATCATGTATATAATCACAAGTAATACTAAATTATGACTAACAATTTACAACTTAAAGAAAAAAAAGTGTATATCATTATTCCATGACATCCCTTCTTTGGCTCAGAAAAAGATAATTTTGGCGTATGTTACCTAGGACTTACGATCTTTAGCATTACCATCGGCATCTACAGATTCTGAATTAAACACCTTAGGCAACATTCAATGAACCTTATTCAAATATTCCTATTCAGGCAGATAAAAGAAAGAATGAAAGAAAGAAAGAAAGGTCGGACTGCATTACCAACGCCAAGCAAGTTTTAAACCAAATGGGTTGCATTACCATCTGAACCGGTATTACTAAAATTAATTCTAAATTCATAACATTTATTTCTCACACTTTTGTCATGGGAGTTTCAAGTGTCATTGGTGAATTGTCTGTCATTGCACACAGTTTTGTAATACATTTTATTTAGATAAGAAAATATAGAACTATAAAGATATTACTTTAACAAATTTGAAACAGAACATGCACTAAATAACTTGAAAAGTTAGAATTAAAGAAATCTAAACTGAGACATGCACCAAACAGCAATATTTCAATGAAGGAAGAAGAAAAAATGAATAAGGAGCAGAAACAGAAGAAGGAAAGATGGAAGATGGGGAGGGGGGAGAGGGAGAGAGGGAGGAAGAAGAATGGAAGGGGGGGGGGGAGAAGGAGAGGGGGAAAGAGAGAGAGGGAGAAGAAGAGAGAGAGAGGAGAAGAGAGAGAGAGAGAGGAGAAGGAGAGGGGGGGAGAGAGGAGAGGGAGAGAGAGAATGGGGGAAAGGATGGAGAGGGGATGGAGAGGGAGAGAGAAAAAAGAGAGAGAGAGAGAGAGAGAGGAGAGAGAGAGGAGAGAGAGAGGAGAGAGAGAGAGAGAGAGAGAGAGAGAGAGAGAGAGAGAGAGAGAGAGAGAGAGGAGAGAGAGAGAGAGAGAGAGAGAGAGAGAGAGAGAGAGAGAGAGAGAGAGAGAGAGAGAGAGCGAGAGCGAGAAAAAACAACTTGACAGAAAAAAAAAAAAAAAAGGAAAAGAATATACTCATATATTTCTGAATAGCGTCATTAATACTGGCATCTAAGCATTTTCTCTTATCCTTTATCAAATATCATTTCCAACGGAGTGTAATATACCAATGTACACAGAAAAACAATTTTGTAATTTCAATAGGAAAGTATACATACATATATAAACTGCTGTAATCAATAATGGCTTCCTATCTGGTTGTTTTAAAACCCAAAAAAGAAGAAATCAATCAATCAATTCAGAATAATAATGATAATAATAAAAAAAAGGAAAAAAGAAAAAAAAAATTACTGACCTTATCTACTTCAGATAAATACATTCGTAAGTATGATTATGAACATGCAAAAAATGTAAAGAGAAAGTGCACGCAAGTATATACAAAACATCCTATTTCCCTTTATACACATTTCAACATTTGGTAAAAATAACCTAAATATATGCACAGTACAAAGTGAGTAAAAAAGACGAAGACAATACGCAAATTTATCGTAATTCAAAAGAGGAAGACTAAATTCTTAAACATCTCAAACATCACAATATTTTGTTTCGTATGTAAATCGCTTAACAAACAAGTAATCACAGATTTTGGAAATCATTTGCACTGCATTACAATTACGTAATATCACTGGTAATACCCCAGACTCACAATTTCTCTGATTATTAGTCAACCATTTTTTTTCTTAATGGTTACACATATTGCATTTCCATGAGAGACCAATATAACTGCTTCTGTCATATAATCATTACATTACAAAACTATAAGGGGTTTGGGAGAGGAAGGGAAGCGATGGGGAAAAAAAATAAAGAAAGAGAGAAAGAAAGAAAACAAAAAAAAGAAAAAAGAACAGAAAGAAGAAAGATAGAAGAAGAAAAAGAAGAAGAAGAAAAAAGGAGCAATACTGATACTGTGGGAATATACTTGATGAAATAATAAAGTTTTCCGCTGCTCATCACACACTGTTTCGCCTACTTCCTTCTATACACACGCAGTTGAGCTTGGGACAGTGTTCACATACTCAGCCAGAACGTCACCAAGCTCACATGCGGCTTCTACCACACCGGCGCCATCTGGTTCTGCTGCTTTTGTGCCTAAGGAGAAGTTTTGAAATGTATAGACTAAAATCCTAATTTCAAAAACTAAAATCAAAATATACCCGTAGTAATGATTACTATCAAGAAAAAATCTTAGGTAATACTGATGCAGTTGAGGGTGGTGGTAGTGGAAATTACAGTATTTTTAAATAAATATATATGTGCTAATAATAATAATAAAAGGAAATTTTTTTATATGATGTAGCCAAACACGTATATTCACTTTGTGGGCAATCAAAAGTTGATTACATTCAAGCCAATGGGTACTTTTGTATCAATTTCCAAAAGATCTAATGACAGACATGCAAGGTAAAAGCTGCTGAAGACCTGCAGGATAAATGTTTAACGGCAAGTGAATACTACTTACTCTCAGATTTGCAGAGTGGAAAGATCTGATCCAACTGGTGCAGTATGTTCTCCAGTTCTTCTCTGACGTCAGGTGCTACGTCATCCCCAAAGACCCCATTGGCCGCCCTTTCCTCGACCCTTGGTGACGTGGCCACGGATGATGGGGCAGAAGTCAGCGAAGTCAGGTCACTGAAATTAACCTCAGTGAAGCTTGGAAGTCGCGTTGGTGGTGGGACAGATCTTGATGCAGCAATGTCTGCAAAGGAATTAATAAGTTGTTGTTTGGGTGTAGCTCTTTCGCATAAAGGTGTGTAAAATAAATGTCATGTCTCTTGCTTAAATTACACCAAGTAACCATGTAACTAAATATGGAAAGTTACACTGTACATTAAAAGACAAAAAAGGCAGTGGATAAACACAGGTTGATTTTCCAAAATTTCTGTAGCTGGTGTGTGTATGACTGCATGTGTACACATGCAGTCATACACCTGTATGCAGGTGACTGTATGTCCATACAAGTGGGTGGGTGTATGTGTTGAAGTTTGTATATGCATGGGATTGGAATTAAGTATGTATGCGATTATGTGGATGTGATGGTGTGAGGATATGTTTAAGTAAAGGAATGACCCATACCGACCTTGAGTTTCTTGGGTGTTGCCATTCGGAGTGCCATGCTGAGGGACTCCATTTAGCCTCGGAGTGAAAGGCATCCTCATAGGCTGTATACTTCTGCTCTCTTTGACAGGAGTCCCATCAGGGTTCTCCACCTGGTGAAAGAATGGTGAAGAAAGTGACTATAGGGAAAAGGAAGGAGGGGAATGATGTAAAACCAGAAGGGGAACTGAGAAACAGGAAAAGAAAGAGATAAACACAAACTCACCAGGTGGTTCTCCTTGTTGTCTAACACTGCAGTGTCGTCAGCACTGGGTTGCTTGACAATGGGAGACAGGTTGAGGAGCAGGCCTCGTTCCCCCACTATGGGTGTGCTCTCCAGTCGGGGAAGACCTCTCACACTTGCCCTCGCTCCTCCGGGCTTGATCTGTGGCGCTGCTTTTGCTGAAGTATAGCTCTGAAAATTGTTGACATTTGTATCATAACTGTAATATTTCATTTCTTTTCAACACAGATAGAGCAAAAAGAGCTAAAAAATATAAAGGTTTTCAGTCCTTAGTATCAAACATCAAATTTCTAATTACTAACTGGGGTCACCAGCAATGAATATATCTAAATGGGAGGTATAATTCATGAACAAACGACAAAACTCGTAATTCCAATCCACCTGCAGGATTGCCTTGAGTCTGTTGATCTGCGTTTGCAACTGCTGGGTGTGCTCTTCCACGTTCTTCTGCATGTCACCATTTGCATCCTCTTCTAATTGCCTGGAACATTTCGGAAACATGAAACTATCATCAACTGAACAAAGGAGAAGAATTTAAGAAATAATAAAATAACCAAGTACCTTTTCCTGTGCAGTTTATCTTAAATCTGTACGCAATTTTTGGGCAGTAATAGCAGGATTTCACTCAATATGATTTGAAGGAATTTTACCAGTCATCTAGTTGTTTTTTGTTGAATATTCATAAACACTACTAGATTGCTGAAACTACCACCGCCATTATCTTACTTATGAACAATAATCTAACCAAAAAATAGTTAAACTCAAACATCAGCATTAATCCTGGCATAGTATTAGCTATTTCAAAGTACTGGATCATAGAACGTTTCTCTCCTTCCCTCATAATAACACATACAAACACACAACAGACTTACCTGTGTCCTTCCTCTAGGTGCATGATCACCGAGTGTATCTGCTGCCGTGGAGTGGTCGGCATTATAGTGGGTTCGGCCGGAGATCCATTTCCTCGGCTTCCTCTGCCGCTGTCACCACTATTTCCGTCTCCCGAGTGATTAGAGTCGTTGTCCTCCGAAGGATGGAGGATCGTGCGAGACATGAGTTCCTCTTCATCTTCCGTCTCGTCTTCACTGTTCCCACACCATGGCTGAACACCACCTGCTTCACACAGTAGACTGGTCCTAAAATAAATAACGGAAAATACAGGATACATCAAACAAATGCTAAAAATAAAAACAATGATATGCTCCATGCTATAGACTTAAAATCTGTAATTAACACTGTTCATTATTTTATCAGTAACCCCAAAAGACAGTTTACTTACAAGTCACACCCAGACTCAGGACTAGAGGCAATGGCTAAGTATCGTTGCTTGTTGTACCCTTGTCTTCCCCCAAATCTGTTCCGCACCATCTTCAACAGAGCCCGCCGCCATTCTTTCCCGGTTGTCTAGGATTTTTAAAAGATTGTGATTATTTTTCTTGACTCGATATCAGTCCACTCTGACAAAGTGCCCTACTTAAAATACTTTTTTTTACTAACAGCTCTCACACAATGACCATAGATAGTTAGTGAGTAATTACTACTCATTCTTTTTACAATTTCTACTACAAAGCAAACTGAGTAATATTATATCATTTATGCTGGAGGAGGATGAGAGGAGAAGGAAAAGGAAGAGGAGGAAATAGAAGTAAATGAAGTTGATGAAGATGACGACCTACCTCATGACAGTACTCCTGAATAGGGTGGGTCAGTTTATGTCTGCGTGAAGTTCTGGCATGAAGGAAACAGTCCTGACACAGGTTGTAGCCTATGCACCGCAAACACTGATACCGAAGCCCGATTATTGGTCGCTGTTTACACACTCCACACTTCACGTCGTGACATACTGGAACAAGCCAAGAAAGTTTCTCTTAATCCAAAATTTAACTTGATATATATTTTGTTGAAGATGTAAAATGAAAAAACAACTAAGTAAAATAGGAAACAAAGAAAAGAAGGAATCAACATATAAAAATGAACTTGAATAAGAGAAAAATATAAAAAAAAAGAAAACATATACTGAGGTAGCCATTAAAAAAAAAAAAAACTACAACTGGATCCATGCACAACACTTCACACCACTGAGGCACAGGGCCTGCAGGTGAAGCCAAGACGAGACCAAGGGAATCCTACCAAGCTCTGCAGCAGTAAGTCTGTAGAGAGTCGTCCACCACACGAGCGTCTGGGGTTCCTGCAGGAGCCAGGCCAACAGCACTTCTTCCGTGACCCCGACCTCACCCTCAACCTGTGGAGATTGTAATCACATGATCTATCCATTAAAGGATGAAACTAAAGCATATTCTATATGTATTATATTATACATATTCAACCGTAGCACTTCAATTCAATCCTTTGATTGCATAAAGCAATTACATGAAATAAATTTCTATAAATAAAAAGAAAGAAAAAATTAACCCCATAGTTTTGTGCACTTGAGGAGGAGGAGTAGGAAGAGAAAAAAAAATATGAATAAGAATAAGAATAATAAGAAAATCTGCATCAATGGGTCAAGGTCACTCTAACAAGCTGACCTTAAAACAGCTCTCAACTGCAGCTGATACTAAAGACATGCCAAAGGATGGCTGTTCTGAGAGTAATTCTGGGATGCGTGCTAAATCTCTGAGGATGGCGGCCAATCTTCTCCTGGAAAAGTAAACAATTGTCTGATATCAATAATTCCTGAACAAATATATAAATAGATAAAGAAAAGCATCAAAATATATTAGAAGAATAGTTACCAACCCAAGTTTAGTCAAATGAACTATACATTATGGTACATATAACATGAAATGGTTATTTTATCTATATAATCTTTTCATCATACTATGCTAACATCTCAATAACATCAAACATGGTATCAAAGAAATATCTTCCCCGTGTACAAAGCAAACATCTCATCACAAATTGGAAAGCTCACCTTGTACAACAGTTGTTATGATCAGCGACCTGCGTGAAAAGGTAACGATACTTCTCCTGCAAGCGCCCTGCACACATCACCACCATTAACACCTTACACCCCAAAACCTGCAGCATCCCGCTTCGGCTTCTGTTGGGGCATGAGTCCGAGTTAAGCGCCTGAGTTTGCCCATTTAAAGAGCGACTAATTTCTCAATGAATGTGTTAAGTCTGTTTCATTCAGTGGTTAACAAAATGCAGGTCAATATATACATATAGAAGGAAAGGGAGATCAAGATGCAAGAAGAGGAGATCAAGATATAATATATATATATATATATATATATATATTATATATATATATATATATATATATATAGAAGAAAAGGAGATCAAGATGCAAACAAAAAACAATATTTTGTTACATATAAATAATCTCAACTTTATAATTTATGTAAGCTCATTAGCCTTTCCTCATTTTGCTAAAACTGCATGAAACACAAAAGATGATCATAAATCAAGGGAAAGGAATCATAAAGGTATAATTCTAAGATCATGCTTTCACAGAACTAATATGAATCTTAATTATCTGACTATGCTGCATGACATTCTCATTGAATTCACTTACTTGTCAAGTACATTTAGGAGGAGATTCAGTGTAAGCTGTGTGGCAAGGGTTATATGAACATGGCGATTTTTGTACGTGGTCCGAAGAATCTGTTGAATAACATGTTCTACTTGCTTTACTTCTATCAAGTCATTGTTTTCAGCCACTCGGAAGCCACAGCTGTCGAATGTCGAGGCCACACACTGAAGTGACACCTCGTGCACTAAAACATAAGAAAAAAACAGTTCAAGCCAATCATTTAATATATCATATTGTATATATACCTAAAAGTAAAGGTGAGAAAAAGACACAATATAGCAATATATAAAGAAAAAATATTCATATTCTAATAAATATGAGCGTTTTTATGAGTTTTATAAGTTAAATCCCAATATATAAGAGCCCCCCCCCTCCTAATTTTAGCCCTTATTTCAGCTGTCCCACCACAGTTTCAGAATACTGGTGGTTCCCAGGGAGTACTATAATTAATGGTCATCATGACCCCAAAATAGCCAGTAAAGTACCTTTTCAGCGTGAACAAAATACTTTTCTTAACCACCTGCCGCAAGGGATGGCATGTGCGTACATGCCATGCCCACTGTGTTTAATTTAGTAATTGTTTTACATATAGATGGCTCCACAAGTACTAAGTCACCAATAAGGCAATTATGAGAATTACCTGTCACCTGTTTACCCTTTCCCTTGCTTTTCAATAACACCTTCTAGTATTTAATAAGTGTTAATATTGACAGCATTAATAAAAAAAACATTTTCCCGTTATTTCAAGGAAAGAAAGGTAACAAGGTCACAAGATCTACTAATTGACTCCTTTGTGGATAAGCACTGGCAGAGCCATCTATTTACAGAAACATTTAACAAAACAATACTAAAGTGAACGCAACATTTTCCTGTCGGTATTGGGTTATATGGATGTGAGTTAAGGAGGATTTTGACAGGGATGGTACAAAGTTGGCCTTGAGACCCCCCTGCAACTCCAGTGATGACTTATGCACGACCTGGAGCACAGTGAAGATAATGAAAGCCAATACTTGTTCACAGGCATAAAGAAGGGAGTCCACTGATGCCAAGGTGATGGGGAGTTACACATTATATAGACAAACCTTGATGCTGGCTCAGCACTGACTGAAGTTATCCAGAGGAGCTTTTCTCTGTCTTCATGAATAACAAAATGGTTGCTACTGTGGCAGTTCACATGAATGACAGAATAGCAGGCACGAAAATCAGAAGAGTCAGCTGTCAGCTCCACACCCGTAACAGCAACAGGTTGACTTCCCAGGTGCACAGTTCATGTAACAACCACATTTTTGTAGTCTCTCCACAAAGGTCATGTAGATTACTAATTGACTTTTTAGTGGCTGGGCACTTGTGTAGCCATCTATGTTCAAGATATATTTCAAAGAACAATACATCAAAATTTCCTAGCAGCAAAGGATTAACTATAGCTGAAAGAAGGAAATGCCACTTTAGGGTTAAATTATATCAATTAGTCTAGAATAATATTGCTCTATACTCAAAATTAAAAATACATACACTTGAGTCGTGTCTGTAGTCTCCGAAGCTTGCACGCTGTTCGGTAGGCAGCATATTTGACAGAATTAAATTGGACAGCTGAACCTCTTTTCTAAATTTATTCGAAACAACTCTGGATGATCCCATTGCGTAAACACCGGAGTCGACACAACCTAATCTTCCGTTCTACCACCTTAGAACTCAAGAATCAATGTACTATCGTATCTTCTAACCTCAAGATCACATACTATTATACACGTTCCTCACACAACGATACAATACAACAGCGTACATCGTGACGTCTGAAATAAAAAACTAAAGCCTCCGAATCAAGAGAACGAAATTTTCGAGATGACTGAGACACAAAGAGTTGAATGAGAGAGGAGTACATAATATTTACGGAGCAATTACGAGAGCGAGAAACTAAACACCTAAAGCCAACCTGTCCAATTATGTTACTAAAGTGAAATTGATTACCAGACAAGCGTAATAGCTGTAAAAAAAATGAGTAAGAAAAAGGAACCCAAGAAGAAGACCCAAGGAAAAAAAGAAAGCAAAAATACCTGTTAGTGAGAACCCAAAAACCCTTTAAAATCATCACTCAAGTTACCCTTGATACGAAATAGTAGAAAAAGCAGGACTTTGAATATGTTACTTTTAATCTTACATGTTATTCAAATGTATTATCTATTAGAATTTCCATAAATCAAAACAACTTTTTTTCTCAAGTCAGCATCAACTTACTTCACATAATAAGGAATACCGGTATTGGTCCTGGCCTTCATCCAGTCCTCTAAGACACGACCTGGAAAGCAAAGATTGCACAAATGAGATTTCGTTCCGTGAAAGAAAAATAATCAGGGGCTGTGATGAGAAGGAGAGAAGGTAGTAAAGGAAGAATTTATAGGGAAGCTACAGAGCAAGGAACAGGAGAAGGAACGCCAAGACTGGAAGCCACAGCGCGAGTCAATAAAAACAAATGGTAAAACAGTCATTTTTTGTTCTACTCAGATAAAACCATGAAGAGATGGAAAAATTTACTGGTATATTATCTGTATATACTACATACTACTATATACATGATAATCCCTGACAGAAGCAAACTCTTTAGTAGTGGTTTCTTTGTAATGGAGTATACACTACTACTGAAATATAGCTTAGGCGTTTATAAAGTGGATTACCAAACATTAAACCCTGTAATCAATATAGAAAAGAGAAGTAAGATATTCAACATATTTAATGACATCCCTCATAGAGAGTTCTGATATTGAACCTGAAAAAATAAATGACAAAAAGAAGACAGGAAACTGACATATAAAATCAGAAGGCTGTATACGCTTCTTATGCGCCATGAGGAGAAGTTTTTGAAAGAAAGTAGTCTCTAAGTAATGTAGCACGTGTACACGTCTAGCTAGCTGCTGTAAATGAATTGTGTATGCTCGTGATCTGTCAGCCTGGGAAAAAACCAGGTGAAGGTAGCGTTTAATCATTCCACAAGTATGACTGCATAAATGGGCATTGGGTAATTTGCTCAATAGATCTTGTTCAGACCAAGGAGCTGCCTTTACATGACAAATAGAATAGTCAGAAGAATCCACTACCGTTGCAATCTCCCTAAAGTTGATTCTAAAGTAGGTTAACACCCATGCTCTTTCACACAGTTGTACGGTACGTCTGATAGCGAGAATGAGATAGTGGTGTAGGTGACACAAGCCAGCGTGGACAACCAAATATCAGAAGAGAAGTTACAACTATCTAGTATGATGAGAATGAATGAAGAAATAGTATCAGATCACCATCTATCGACAGGGAATTGCATAATTCAGAAAAAGCTGTAACAATTACAATCTTCCAGAAACAGTACTGGACAATGCATAAATAGAAATTAATTTTCAATTTTCGACTCCTGAAGTGGCATGTTCTTGAGAGATATCAGACAAGAAACTAATTAAATATGCACAACTGATCTCTTGTATATGGACAGGCCTGTGATCTCAACGATTAGTGATAGTTAGTACCCTTCATCTAAAGGTTGTGTGTAACCCGATGCGCGATATGAAGAACGGACTGTGATGCCAAGAGGATAATGGAAATAGTGAGATTTACTATTGAATACTTCCTATCAAAACAAAAACAAGCGATGGCAGTGTTGACTGACGAAGATAATGGAATATCTGGATTATAAATGCTGGTTAGGTTCCGCATTAATCTCCGGAAACCGGCATGTTAAGTCAATACTTATTACCTAACAAAACGAACTTAAAGAACAAATGAGACTGAAAGAGGATAACGAGAGATGTTTATGTGCACATCGCAAAGATTATGTGAGTACTGATGATTAGCGAAAACAGCACCAAGCAGGAACAAGATTGGAAAGATGTTACATGGACTAGACGCTAAGAAGCACGAGAGAAGTAACTCAAACATTAATGCTGGAGCCATTCAGTAAAACAGAATGATGATCGTGGGTAACGAGATAATTCCTACGATAGATATGAAAGAGGAGAGAGAACGATCTTAAGACTACAGGACAGTGGATAATCGTGGAAGAGAAGTCCCTCCCTGCCTCCTATGCACGGCTAACAGAATGCGACAAAGGACATTTGAGTGTAAAAGATATCGGAGTAAGTGTTACAGTTATATGGATGGTTTGAAGCTCGCGCCAAGTGGAGCTTTAGGACTGAGAGGCGAGCAAGCTACTATGCGAGATCTTTATTCGCTTGAGGGATAATTGTGACAATTACGCCTTTCGGCGATCTGCCTAGATAGAGAATTATTTACTGTTGTTACCCCCGACAGAGACTGCAACGTTGTGTTCGTCGCGATCTACAAGAGAAGGTATGCAAGTGAATTCAAGAAGTGATCTTGCCTCTAACTTTTAGCGCGAGTGAGAGAACCCGATAGTAGAGAATGCAAAGCGCCCGATGGTTGTTACAGAGGGACTCACCTATCAAAGTGAGAGGTGGGACACGACGGACCGGCCTTGGAGAAGATTTGTAGTATGTCTCAACTGAGACAGAGAACAGGAGAGGAGATGGAATGATGAGAAACATACTTAAAAAGAAAAAGAATGATGACATGATTCTTCAAGGATTAAACAGTCAAAGTCTACCATGATAAACATTGGCCGATTGTGAAACTGAAACTCAGAACAATTGTATTCTGACCACCTCGTGAATAAAGCTCTCCTAATGAAGAATAAAGTAATTTTTTCTGAAATACGTTCCACATAAACAGATCACAATCTACAATGCAAATGCTTGTTTTATTGATGCGTAAGCCCCCCTACAACCGCCCAAACATTCTCGGCCCTCCCAGAGACAGAATATGGGAGGGCATAATAAAATTGGGGTACCATGGAGAAATCTGCAGGCAGACGGGTAAAATGTAAGATAGAGTATATTATCAGAAGTCAGGCACTGATATAGTCTAATGCGTGGGAGCCAACGAATGTAGAGAGGTATTTGGTAATCTGGGCCCAAAAGAGTATTATAAGTCGTATGGTCAAAAGTGTACTCGTGCCTGTACAAAATGAGGTGTATAACCGACGTTCTCATGGCAGAAGCGTGAACTTGTCCCTTGGATGCGGTATAAGCAGCAGCTGCGACAGCAGGTAATGAGCAGGTTTAGATGAAATCAGATCTAGACGCGCACCAAAAGAATGATCAAGTTATTGACTTATTTCCACCGCACGTAGGTTGCGAGATCATCGCGCAATATCGCAAAAGAATGAATAGCTCTCGTTTTTTTAAAGCCACAAGTATTATAAGATTACTCGGCATGAGTTAGAATGACTTCTTATTCTCAATGGTTGTTACAGAGAGGAGAATTAGAGAATATGAAAGTGAAAGTGAAAATGAACGCCAATGTGCCAATCAAGGATGTATACAATTCTACTACGCCGGGGATCTCCTGCAAAGCATTACATGATTTCCACAAAGGCTCAGTTCTGTTAACAACTGAGTCCTAATACAGTATTGACAACCACTGTTACAATATTAGCCCTATCTTCAAGATAGGTATTCAAAAAGAAATTGTCAAATTTCCACGCAAATGAAGACAAAATGATGCTTTCCGCGCATACAAAAATATAATATTCCCCGCACAAGAAAAATATCCTACAGTCTGGATGCTGGGGGCTGTGCCCCCCTACCCCTGCTCAGGGGTCACAGGGGGCAGAGTCCCCTTCAGTAGACAATATAGTGACTGATTCTGTGTATATTATTTACATTTAACCCCACACTCTCCCTGGTACCTTTCATGCCCTCCCCTGCTATCGGGGCCAAGAATGTGTGGGGTTTAGGGAGTTTCCGCCCAATAATCTATATATATCTGGAAACTATACAGTGAGAGGAATCCAAATAAACCAAAATCATCCGCTATGCAGACGTATTAGGAAAAATTACCTAAAACAAAAAGAAAAACTAGTGACAGCTTTCAAACTACATGACCAGAATTTTCCTCATCAAACTCCCCCCAAAATACCAAAATTCACCGAGATTTTTGCCCTCTGGCTATACAAAACAAATATCTACCACATTAACTCAACCTCCAGAACCCAAAACCCACAGAAACTTCACCAAAACGCCTTAAAAATCCATAAATTCGCGTTAATTTCGTCCCAGCGAAAGTCACCCGTAGCCGCAACAGGTTCCCATCCTTCAAAGCACCAACACTATTTCTCCATATTTTCCCTTTCCTCGACCTCAATACGACCCGAAAATAACCCCTACTCACCCTCTAAGGTCTCCACCATCTTCGCTAATGCCTTGGAAGTTCGTAAATTGCAAAATAGTCGCGAAAAAGTCACATACTAGGCCTACTCGCTCGCTCTGTTTTGGACGCGAGGTTTGAATGAGTGACGGACAGGGCTGCCAACCTCTCCAGAACCAAAACACCAGCTGCTTTGTATTCGTTTGTTTTTCTGTTGTGTTATTTATTCTTTTCTAATTTTGTATTTTGATAAGATGTTTTATTTTGTTGTATTTTGGTTGATTGTTATATTTTCGGGAGGATTGAATGGATGGATTGACGACGGCAGGAGTACCAACCTATACGGTACCAAAACATCACCTGCTCTGTATTATTATAATTTTCTTACTGTGGTGTGTTTTTTATGGGTTGCGTTTTGAAATTATTTTTCTTGTATTGTATTTTGAAGACCATTTGCCTATTGTGATCAGTTGTTATATTTCTGGGAGCGAGTTTTGAACGGGTGACGGACAGGGCTACCAACCTCACATATATTTCTATTTTCAAGTTGTATCTTGAAGCCTATTATGATTTCTCGTTAT